CACCTTGTTTATTTTAAATTCCTTCAATTCCATACTTTCTGGGTGTTTAAACTGAGTGCTATTAGGAACAGAAATAACAGGAATAGCATAGGTAGGCTTTATGGGCTGTTGATGTACCATTACTTCAGACATGATCTCTCCATTATAATCATCCAAATTATATCTGGAAAATAAAAAAAAAGTTTGAATTTACCAGAACTTTTAAATGTTAGTTTATATACTTAATATCTGTATCATTATTAACTTGTAAATCTACATCAGCATTCCCCTACTTGGGCAACTTCCAAATACATGGACTTTATTTTTGACAGTTCTTACCCAGCATGGACATTGTTGACAGTTTTTGCCAGTTCAAGGTGATGCACCTGGAAATTGCCCACACTGAGAACTATTGATCTAGAACTGAGTGTTACATAAGTCTTACTCAAGAAGAAAAAATAGCATTACAGAAATAGTTAGAATATACATTCTGAAATGATAATTGCAGTAAGCATGCAAAATGTTTCATATTTGAAATGTTCTGAGATTGGGCGTTGGTTCTTACCCGAGATGCCCGTTATCTGGGCAGGTAGAGATAGCATCCAGGAATAGCTTAACTCTGATCCAATGGGGACTGAGTCTGCATTTTTTTCAATATCCTGCTTCCTCCACTGGCTCCTCCCAGCTTTGACGAAGTTGAAACTGTAGACTGACGTACGGTGAATTGGAACACTGTCTCTCCTCTACGACGACAGACCGGATCTCCATTCTTCAGGGTGGAGCTGGATGCTATATTCTCCTGCTCAGAGAACGGGTGTCTCAGGTAAGGACCAGCACCCATTCTCCATTGCTGGTGGAGATAGCATCCAGGAATGGGACGTACAAAAGCCAGGACTGTCCTTACGGGTGGGCCGATGGCTGGGCTGACGTCCCCTGGACCACGTGAACAGCTTGTAAAACCTGCCTGCCAAACATTGCATCCACAGAAGCATAACTGTCGATCTTATAATGGTGGATAAAGTGAGAAGGCGATGACCAGGTGGCCACCCTGCAGACCTCCTCAAGTGAAGCTTGTGTGGCCCAAGCTGCCAAAGTAGCCGTGCTCCTAGTAGAGTGAGCCAAGATGCGGCTTGGAGGTGTCTGTGACTGCAGGTCATAAACTTTTGAAATGCAGGCCCGAATCCAACGACCCAGCTTGTGCCTCATGGAGGTTGGCTGATAAGATATGAAGAGCGCCTCCATTCACCTCAATGCTGATGTGCGACTTAAGTAGATCCAGAAAGCCCTCTGAATGTCTAGCGTGTGCCACTTTCTTTCTAAGCGGTGAGCAGGTGTCGGGCAAAAGTTCGGCAAAATCACCTCCTGGGCCCGATGAAATTTGGTGTTGATCTTGGGGATGAAGGAGGGATCGAGTCTCAAAACGACTCTGTCCAAATGAAAGATACACAGATCCTGTCTCACCGACAGGGCTGCCAGCTCCGAAATCCTCCTGGTGGAGGTGATGGTGGCCAAAAAGGCTACTTTAAGGGAAAGGTAATGGAGAGATGTGTCCCGCATGGGTTTAAAAGGGGGTCCCGTGAGAGCGAACAGCACCTTGGATAGGTCCCAAGTTGGATAGTGATGTACAGCTGGTGGTCAAAGATTGGTAGCTCTGCGAAGAAAGCGATGGACCAAAGGATGATGTGCCAGTGATGGAAACTCCCCCAAACTAGGACAGAAGAAAGAGCAGCTACCTGCCTCTTGAGAGGGTTTGAGGCTAGGTCCAGCCCCTCTTGAAGGAAGTCAAGCACTTTATGGATCGGGGCTTGTGACGGGACGATATTCCCTCTGAAGCACCAACAACAAAAGGATTTCCAGGTAGCGTCTTATATACGATTTGTGGAAGGACGCCTGGGTGCCTGAATCATGTTGATGACGCGGGGAAACAAACTGGCTGCCCTCAGGGTTTGCGGATCAATCGCCAAACGGTCAACTTGAGCCACTGAGGATCTGGGTGAGCGAGGGAACCCTGGCTGAGGGAGAGTCTGGTCACTGGATGCCTCCAGTGAGGTGCCACTGACAGCAATATCAGGTCTGCGAACCATGGGCGACGCGGCCTGAATGGGGCCAGGAGAAGGAGTTCCGCCTCCTCCTCCAGAATTTTCCAGATGACACTTTGAATGAGAGGTAGAGGGGGAAAGGCATAGAGAAAGCTGCTGGCCCACATGCACCAATGTGTGTCTGTGCCCTCCGCCCCCGGGGTTGTGTAATGTGCCAGAAAATGTGTCACCTGCCTGTTTTCCTTCATTGCAAAGAGGTCGACTGTCGGCAGTCCGTAACGGGTGGTCAGGTCCCGGAAGAGGTCGGGGTGCAACATCCATGCCGCATGGTCTATCTGGGAGTGGCTGAGCCAGTCCACTTGAATGTTGGACTCTTCCGAGATGTGCTTGGCTGTTATGCACAGTAGCTGTTTTTCTGCCCAGAGACTGAGCAGATCGGCCTCCTGCATGAGGGACCCGGAACGAGTCCCTCCCTGACGATTGATGTGCATCTTGGCCGTCATGTTGTCCATGAGGACCAATACACGTTGGTTGACCAGCTCCTGTTGGAACTCGATGAGGGCCAGTTGAATGGCTCACAGCTCCAGTCAATTTATGCTGTGTTGGCTCTCAGCGCAAGACCACAGCCCCTGGACCATGCTGGACTGCAGATGGGTGCCCCAACCGGTCAGACTGGCATCGGTGGTCAGCATGAGGCAAGGTGGCTCCTTCAGCAACGAAGCCTTGGATATGGCCGGAGAAATCCACCACTTCAGGGGCTTGGTCACCTCCTGGGGTAGCTGTACCATAATGGAAGGGCAACTCCTGTTGGCCTTCTGAAGTGGGAGTAGGAACCACTGCAGGTTCCTGCTATGAAGATGGGCCCAAGGCACAATCGAGAAGCAGGACACCATCTTCCCCAGGAGTTGGGACAACACGATCAGTTGGCTGCTGTGCTGGGACCTTACATTGCTGGCCAAGGCCCTGAGGCTGTCCTGCCTTTCCTGAGAGAGGTAAACCTTGCCCCCTGCCATGTCTATAATCGCCCCCAGGTGGAGGAGACGAGGGGGAGAGGTGACTCTTTTCCAGATTTATGGAAAAACCATGGTCCCTCAGGACCGCCAGCATCATGTCTACATCCTGCCTCACCTGGTCTGCCAACCTGGACATTAGAAGGATGTCATCCAGGTAGCACTGGATCCTGATGGGAACGGCTCGAAGATGGGCTGCTATGGTTGCCAGTACATTTGTCAACACCCTGGGGGCTGACGAGAGCCCGAAGGGGAGGTCCCTGTATTGGAAATGCTTTCCCTGGTAACAGAACCGGAGGAACTGCCTGTGGTCCGCATGGATCGGTGTGTGGAGGTAAGCCTCCGTGAGGTCCACTGAGGTGAGGAAGTCGTACCTCCAGACGCACTCTAGGATGGTTAATAGAGAATGCATCTTGAACCACTGGTAAACAATATGGTGGTTCAGGCATTTTAAGTCGAGAATGGCTCTCCCCCCTCCCCCCCAGGCCTTTGGAACGATGAACAGGAGGGAATAAAACCCCTGTCCCCGCTGTCCCTCTGGGACCGGTTGAATTGCCCTTATGTCCAGGGGATGCTGAATCGCTTGATCTACTAGCCACTTTTTGTCCCAATCCGGGGATACTAGGCAGGTTCTGAAAGACCTCAGGGGGCAGGAGAGAATGACCATTGGCTTACCTAAAGGGTCCTTTTCTGGGTGCTGTGAAGGAGAGTCCAAGCATGGGTTAAATACAGCCAATCTGCCCAGGACTAAATTGAAACTTTAAGCCATGCCTCTGGTGCCAACTAATCCTCAGATTTTCTTCAATGAAGGCGTGGACAATGCACGCTGATAAGTTCAGGAACAAAGTCAAAGTCATAACACTTATCCATAAATTCCGAAGAAACCATATGATAACTGGCGGAGTAGACCCCAGGGTGGGGTTGGACTCTCCTTCGCAGCACCCANCAGCCTCTCTGGTCCCTGCTCTGAGTCTGAACCCTGCCCAGGGTCCTCCACATCTTCCATGGCAGACTCATATGGTTCCTCGCTATCTGAGTCCAGCAGCAGCTCAACCGGATCCTGCTGGGCCACATCACTTAGTTTCACCTTTTAAGTTGCATTACTGAAATAAATGAACTTTTGCACAATATTCTAATTTTTCGAGTTTTACCTGTATATTACTTCTTTCCAAGCTGATGTGCATCTGTAGTAGCAATGTAAAACATCTTTATACCTCATGTTTATAAGGTAAAAAACAGTGCTGAAGGGTCCAGATTAGCTAGGTAATTTTTAAAAAAATATTTATTACATGCTGAAAGCAATAAATTATAGCTCACTCTCAAGAAAAGAATCCAGACAAGATATGCTTAATCACTATTTTGATGCCACAGAAATCCTTGCAGAAAAATATGCTAATGGAATTTGACATGGATTTTAATACAACCTATAAAAAAACCTTATACCCATGCAAATCATTTGATGAGAAATCAAGCTGCTTTGAGGCCTACCTATATCCTTCCCATTATTTGCATAGAGATTATCTCAGAAGAACCTCAAAGCACCTACACCTTTAAGCAGAAGATGCACAGAATCACAAGGGTACCAGGAGGCACCTACTCTCAAGAAAGATGAAATACCACACCTGTCCCAGAAAAAGATTGCCAAACTGATAGTTCAAGTAGGCATAATAGAGGTCTGATAACATGTCGTAGGTTTTCAGGATCTTCCAATTATTTTCAGAGAAGTTACAGTTAGCAATGACATATGAAATATGATTAGTGCAAGCCTCTAAATCATGGATTTGAAATGGATTCAAGGGGGAAAAATATAAGGAGGAAAGTCACAAAAGGCTGTGTGATTCTGTACCAGAAGGGAGATCATAATAAAGTTGAAGATATAGATTTAAGAATACAGATGGCTAATTAGTACATAACTTTTAATTTAAATAACACAGCAAACATATTTAACAACTACATTTCAATTGTTTTTCTACATCATGTTCATACTTTTCAATATGTTAGTGTAGTGAGTTTTACGATAAATAAGCCTACCTTCCACCACGTCCAACCCGTCTACGTGAAAACCCAATGCATTTTTGTGGCACAGTAAGGGTGGTTAAGCAGTATCTGTANCTGAACGTACTTGCTCTTCCAACGGGGAGCTTACCTAACAATACCCCTTAGGTCAGTGAATGGCACTCTGCCCGGCTGGAGAGGTGATTTGCCGGGCGGCTGCTCGTGAGCGTGGTTACCCCATGGCTGCTTCGCCCCTGAGGCTGTGCCCGGCTCTTTGGGAGCCCGCTCGCAAGGGAGCAGCCGCCCGGCAACTCCCCCCTCCGGCCAGGCAGAAAGCCACTCCCCAACCTAGCGGTATCCCGAAGGCGGCAAGCAACGTGAGCGCCTTCCCCCCCTCCCGGGTCCCGCGGCTTGGCGCATTCGGGATACCGCTAGGTTGGGAAGCGGTGCTCTGCCTGGCTGGAGGGGGGGGGTTGTCAAGAGGGTTTATTTTCGGGGGTGGGCTTATATTTTTGCCCACGCGAAAAATGTGGCAAGGCGTTAGTATCGGGACAGGTCGTATTTTCGGGGAAACACGGTACAAATTGTAAACAGTGGCTTGGAAAAAAAGGCTTAGAAATTTTGCTAATTAATTCTTATTTAGAATATGTTATGAATGATGATTTTTGTAATAATTAACGAAATGTCACTATGTGGTTGTGTTTTTAACTATGGACTATTTTAGGCAAAAGGACGTTAAAACAATTTTAGTCAAATGAGAATTGTGGTTTGCTGAAAGTAAGATTCTTTAAAAAAATTGACTTAAAACACATAACTGATATGAATTATAAGTAATGACTGGAAGAGATGCACGAAAGTTATTTGTAACCAATTGACACACTTTCTACAAGATGTAATGTAAGATGATTCTTTTTTGTGTGTTGTTTAAATAAAATAAAAAAACTCTCTTCAAAAAATACTTTAGAAAGTAGATCACTAAACACAAAGGATGGTGTATTCTTCTTACAAGCCTCTAATTGGAGGCAATTTTGAATGTGATGACAGGAAAGTAGATTATGGAGACTTATCAAAGAGTTTTTTATTGCAGAACATGAACAAACACTATGCTAAGAAATACTAAAATATACAGTATATAGGTGAAACTAAAAAAATTAGAATATCATGCAAAAGTTCATTTATTTCAGTAATGCAACTTAAAAGGTGAAACTAATATACGAGATAGACTCATTACATGCAAAGNAAAAGGACCCTTCAGGTAAGCCAATGGTCATTTTCCTGGGTGCTGCTCTGGAGAGTCCAAGCATGGGACATACCCAAACTAAATGTCACTAGGGCGGGAAGCGGAAGCGTCAAGGGTCTCTCCGCTGGTATGAATGCCCTGGAGAACTCGCCTCCCAAATGCCCCCTCCGCAGAAGCAAATTTGTCCAGTCTGTAGTTTCAAACAAAGGAAGACAAGGACGTCCACATAGCAGCCTTGCAAATCTCCTCTATCGGTGCCTGGGTAGTCCAGGCTGCCGTAGTGGCGGCGCTTCTGGTAGAATGTGCAGTGATATGGCGTGACACTGGAATAGATTGAAGAACGTGGGCCGAGGTGATATAGGCACAGGTGCACTGGGCAAGATCTTAGGAAGGCCGCCACCGTGGCTAGGATCTTTGTAAAGGTTCGAGGTGCAGAGGACAGGCCGAATGGCAGAGCCCTGTACTGGTAGTGGCGGCCTGCATAAAAGAATCTCAGGAACTTGCGGTGAGCTTTGCGAATGGGGATGTTGAGGTAGGCCTCCTTGAGATCTATGGATGTTAAGAGATCTCCCGGCCTGATGCCAACCCAGAATTGACTGAAGGGACTGCATCTTGAACCTCCAGTATGCTATATGATGATTTAACCCTTTTATGTCGAGGATCCCCCTCCACCCCCCGGAGTTCTTTGGGACAAGGAAGAGTATTGAACAAAACCCTGTCCTTCCCTGACCTGGTAGAACCGGTTCTATGGTGTTTATGTCTCTGAGGTGAAGGATCTCCTGTTCCATGAGAACCTTCTTGATCGGACAGGAGGGGGGTGGACACCGAACGAAGTGCCGGGGAGGGGGAGAAATGAACTCTAACGTTAGACCTATGCGTATCGTCTGACGGACCCACTGGTCCGACATGATCCGCTCCCATTGGGTGTGGAACAGCTGGAGATGCCCTCCTATGGGAGCCATCTGCTGATGGTCACTTATAGCATCTGAAGGGTCTAGAATTGGACCCTCTGCGATAGGGATGTTTGGAGAAGGTCTGTTGACGGTTTCTGTCACGAAAGGGCTGACGGTCCTGGGACCTATCCGTGCCCTGAGAGTATTGACGTTGGAAGGAACTGGAGGTAGACGGCTGCTCCGAGTTCCGAAAGGGCTGCCTCCTATAAGTCTGTGAACCCTTACGGTCAGATTTTTTGCTGACCGAAGGCATGACCTTCATTTTGTCCTTGTTTTCAGCCAGGACAGGGTCTAGGGCCTCCCCAAAAAGCTTGCCGCCCTTAAAGGGAGCCGAGGCGAGCTTCCACTTGGATTGCATATCTGCGTTCCAATGACTGAGCCATAAGAGGCGCCTGGTGGTGACATTAGAAGCCAGGGATCTAGAGGCAAATTTGGCAGCATTCGGTGTAGCGTCAGCAGTGTACTCTGTCGCTGCGATAATTTTGTTAACATCCTGTCTTAATTTGGTATCCCCAGCCGGAAGCTTGGCGAGGAGCTGTCTCAGCCAGAGTAGCAGCGCCCTGGACAGGAAGGACGCAGAAGCAGAAGTTTTAATGGCCCAAGACGCTGCCTGATGAGTCTTGTGGCAGGCGTTCTCGGCCCTTTTGTCCTCCGCCTTGAGCCCTTCTAATAGTTCAGGGGGAAGCACTGAGTTGGAAGTGAGTGCCACCTGCAACCCACCACTGATCTGCTACGTGAATATTGTGTGGTCCAATTGCCACTGTCTCCCAGGGTCTTAGAGAGAAATGTTTTCAGTCCTATTTGGAGGCAACAGGACTGAATGTAAGAAATCAGGACATGTCAACCCCTAATCATCCTTTTCTCCAAAATAGTAAGATTTGCCAATGACAACCAAGAAGTCATTTGTTTGATAATCTAAAACACCATTTTTATCCCCATGCCTACATATTCACTCAACAAGCACAGCTATATTATAAATGTGAAGCAAATAAAAAATATATTACAATTTTATAAAATATTATTTTTATAATTTAATAAGATCTTTATTTAATAGCAATCATAATTTAAAACCAAACTGTTTTACCTTTTTTCCATAATTTCCAATGTTAAATGCAGTAACTCCCTCTTGCTCTTTTCCCTTTTCTTCATGATCTCTAGAATTGTTACCGCATGACTCAGATCCCGCCGCAGTTTAAGCATTTTTTCATAAGAAGCTTCATCATTCTTTCGATTCTGCAAAATGTAGCATACAAATAAAATATTTATAATTTAGATACCAAACTATTATACAGTACATCAAATATTTTCATACTTGAAAATCGAGTAATTAGGACGGCTAAGAGAACACACATTGCCTCTCTGGTTGCGTCTGCCGAGTCGCGCCCAGCCGCCCTGTTT